ACCACTTTCCCAAAGGGGAATCCCGGAGATACCTAGGTAACCTGGGGCCAGAAATGCCGAGCCGACTCTTGGTCTAGAAGTACCGAATCCGCTAAACTATATCGATCAACTCTGAAATATCTTGGAACAATGTCCGCTTCACCCCCCACGATTCTTCTTATCGGCGCTTCGCGTGGCCTTGGCTACGCCATGGCGGCAGAATTCCTAGAAAAGGGATGGAACGTTGTCGGAACAGTCCGCGATAGAGGCTTGCGAACATTACTCCACGAGCTAGCAGACAAGTACACCGGCCGGGTTGACATTAAGACCTTGGACATTTGCCAACCTGATCAAATCAAAGCGCTCGACAAGCGCTTGTCGGGCAAGATATTTGACGTCCTCTTCGTGAACGCCGGAACAACGAATCGCGACCCAACCCAAACAATTGGAGACGTCTCAACCGAGGATTTTGTACATGTCATGGTCACAAATTCGCTCAGCCCTATGCGTGTCGTTGAGAGTCTGGCACATCATGTGGCTCCGACGGGTCTGATCGGTGTGATGTCATCTGGACAGGGAAGCATCAGCAACAATGAAACAGGTCTGCGAGAGGTATATCGTGGCACTAAGGCTGCGCTGAACATGTTCATGCGAAGCTTTGCAGCTCGTCAGGACCCATCGCGTCCAATGGTGGTGATGGCTCCAGGGTGGGTCAAAACCGAATTGGGAGGTCCGGATGCTCGGCTTACCATCGAAGAAAGCATCCCTAACTTGGTGAATGTACTTATTTCAAAGAAAGAACGACCCGGGCTTGAATACCTCGATTACCTTGGTCGAACTGTGCCTTGGTGAAAGATGGAATCCATGGATCGAATTCATCGTTCGTCAATCCACATATGTATCAAAGGAAGCCGCTATCCACACATGCTTTCCAGCACTCTCTGTCTTTCCTGTTTTCCCTGGGAGTCTGTTAGCGACAGGAGGGGAGTTTCCAATGTTGCCACGGCTCCCCAGCCTACCGCTCAGGGGTTTGCCAGAGATCCCAATATCATTGGGCCCCGCAAACACTACACCGACATAGTACATATGTACATACAAGCCTAACAAAGTTCTCTAGTCAACACTTTTACAATGATCCTCACGCTAGGATCGTTCCCTATTTATGTAGGTATCGATGATCTAGATCGTAAACAAGTCGTATCTCGGCGCCATGTAGCTCGCTTTCACCTGCGCATAACCGGGTAGTTGGCCTGTGAAACCTGAACCAGGGTAGTTACTAGGCCAACACAATCAATATGCTTCGATTGCCACCCGGATGGTTAAAGAAGGTACTATCCGTGGGGTACCAAAAATAATAACAAAACAGAGCTCTGTGGCAAAAAAGCTATGATGGCATATCCAAATGTCCAGCATCCATGAACTACCTCAGAACAACCACGGTCCACAACAAGCATCAATTGACTGGCTCACACTAAAGATCCCAGAACACAATAGAATCAGTGGCACAACTAGATTGATCTGAATGGCGAGTGCGGAGAAGGACCCAAGGTGGTGGTAAACCTCATCGTCATGATAAAATCATTGCCGCCACCTCCAAGCGCATAAATATGGACGGTTTTCCCCAGATTTCAGACAATAGTCAAGCAAGCTGAACGAAATCTACATATAGTCACAAACGACTCTTGGTATGGATCCCAATCTAACCCCTTGTACCTCATGAGAAGAGCATCGAGAGTTGACGGTGGGGGATGCGATGCTCTATAAGAATTCTTGCTAACACTATCAAGATATGCCTAAAGACAAAGGCCAAAACAAGGGCGTGGAAGCTCCCAACGCCAGAGCCAGGAATCACGCTACGCAAAAGGCCGCACATAGCGAAGCGGGCCCTTCTGAACTTTTGAGTGAACACATGGACTCTGTTGGCAACCCAGTACCTGATCCAAATTGGGGCCCTACAAAGAAGCAGCCTAATGAGGAATCGGACGTGGTTGACGCTTACAACGCGGACACTTCGGAGTTTAAGAGGGAGTGAACAATTTGAGAAGGGGGATTTGAGCAAAACTTAAGTACATATATAATTATCCATATCCGGTATATTTTAAAAGAATTGAACTACATTTGAAAGCTATCTACAGGTCTCAATATGTAATAGGTTTCAGTAGAAGCACATATACTCCGTCTATATAGTGGAGCTAGCGGGTCATCATTGCTATGGCAACAGGTCTTGTAGACGACACTTTGATGTAGATTAGGAAATCGCCTTGCTATTATTCTCTTACACTTTCAATTCCAATTTCGTTCTTTCTTTTTCTGATATTATATTACATATTCTTTCCACAAATTATGCCCCAGACTCACCAAGTGTTTACAATGAACTGAACTTCCCCGAGGAAACAACGCGCAACAGTAACCCCCCCCTTTCACTCATTCCAGTCTACATATTCCCCTTCCAATCTATCTCTTATTTTCCCTTTCGTCAATCCCATTGCATGTAACCAATCTTGCATGTACCACTCTCTCCTTGATCGACGACGCGACGCCGTCACCGCTTGTGTGCAGCTATTAAGCGACAGCAGTAGGGACATGGCGCTAGATCCGCGCTTCTATCACCACATCGGCCATCCGGGCCCAGGCTCGATATCTTCAGCCGCTTCATCCGACATATCGGCCGCCACAGGAATCACCTCACCCAGCATTATCTCCACCTCCGCTTCCGCCGCCACCCTCCGATCCACAGCCTCAAGTCCTTCCTTCCGCGCGCGAGAGGGGTTCGCGATACCCCATACCAGAGATGGGATGGCTAGCCCAACTCCAGGGGGAAATGTGCGCGTCGTCGTGCGAGTGCGGAAGTTCTTACCACGAGGTAGGTGTTGTTTGGGACGGATGCGGGGAGGCGCGATGCCCCCGAAAGTCGAGGGCATATTCTGACCTCATCTTGCAGAGATCGATCGCAAGGCAGAATGTTTGATTTCGATGGACCCGCGCACACAAATGACCTGCCTTCAAGCACCGAAACCGAAACCCGGCGATCAAGGAAAACCCAAGTCACAAGCCCGCGGCAAGACCTTGGAAGATAAATCTTTTACATTCGATAACTCCTTCTGGTCCCATAATGAGGAGGATGAGCATTACGCACACCAGGAAGATGTGTACAACTCTCTGGGTGAAGAGTTCCTGGATCACAACTTCGAAGGATACCACACGTGCATCTTCGCATACGGACAGACAGGTTCGGGAAAGAGTTACACCATGATGGGAACCCCAGATAGGCCCGGCTTGATTCCTCGAACGTGCGAAGATCTGTTCCAGCGCATTGAGAACTCGCCTTCTCCCGATATCAGCTACAACGTCCGAGTGTCTTATTTCGAAGTATACAACGAGCATGTTCGCGATCTCTTGGTCCCAAGAACAGATCCCCCGCACTATCTCCGCATTCGTGAATCGCCTTCAGAGGGTCCATACGTCAAGGATTTGACAGAGGTTACCGCGAGGAACTACACTGAATTGATGAAATTTATGCGAAAGGGCGACGTCTCACGAACTACGGCCAGCACAAAGATGAACGACACTTCGTCTCGATCTCACGCAGTCTTTACCATTACTTTAAAACAGATCCACCATGACTTGTCAACGGATGAAACGACTGAGCGCACTGCTCGGATTCGATTGGTCGATCTGGCAGGTTCGGAGCGTGCCAAATCTACCGAAGCGACTGGCGCTAGACTTCGTGAGGGTGCAAATATCAACAAGTCTTTGACTACCTTAGGACGTGTCATTGCAGCGCTTGCAGATCCTAAGAAACTCCGCGGCCCGCGAAAGGGCAAAGAGCTGGTACCATACCGCGACTCGATCCTGACATGGCTATTGAAGGACAGTCTAGGTGGCAACTCCAAGACTGCGATGATTGCCTGTATCGCGCCTGCCGACTATGAAGAGACACTTTCGACGCTCCGTTATGCGGATCAGGCCAAGAATATTCGGACACGAGCACGGGTCAACCAAGATCAAATGTCGGCAGCTGAGCGTGATCAACAGATTGCAGAAATGACAGAGACAATTCGCACCCTTCAACTCAGCGTGAGCCAAGCAGCAGTCAACCAGCGCGCAAGCGAGGCCTCCGACGAGAAGCTCGAAGAGTATCAGCAGAAAGTCGAGAAAATGCAACGCCTCATGGAAGAGAACAAAATGGTCAGTGAATGCAAGATTCGACAACTGCAAACAGAAAACGACGCTTTGCGCATGCATCTGAAGCTAGCGGTTGAGAGTCTCAAGAACCCAATCCCACCCATTACCTTCGAGCAGCGAAAGCCTAGCATTACGTCTCTGGAGGATGAGAATCAACCGCCCAGCCATGATCCAGAAGACCGCGAAGGCTCTCCTTTGGTATCAGACGCTGAATCTGACATGGACGTCTGGGAAGATGATGATACTATTACTGATGATGTCACCGAGCATGAGGCCCAACTAATGCAAAATCACATGCATGAGCTTCTTGGTGACCTGAGTGTCTTCAAGAGGAAGCTGGCCACAGACCATGAGCGGTTCCGTCCGATCGAGGAGCCTACGACTCGGAAACGGCGTGCCTTGGGAACCATTGTCAGCAATCGTTAATATGTGGATATGACTTATTTTTATCTTTTGGGTGTACAGGGATTGAATGGTGTTGGCGGCGATCTCTTTGTCTGCTCTTCTGCGACGCCCTTTGGGATGTTTGAAGTCTTTGTTCAGACTTCCTTGTTTGAATTGGGACCAGACTAGTTTTGGCCTGTGTACTTATTTCTGTTATAGCGAGCCCCCGCGATGAATAATGAGACACTTGATGTTACGCCTGTTTCAATGCCAACTACCTATTCATTGGGTATCATGGGTTTCTTTCAGGCCGCACTCTTATATGGAGGCCATGTCATTCAATTAGAAGTAGTAAATTCTTGCTGTCTGAAACCGAGTCTTCAATTGAAGAGAAGCTGAGACTTATTCAAGGATTCAACAATTACATACATTATTCATTGTCTGCGTCTGCGATGAACCGCAAGTTAGGGCTGCGCCGCTCAGTGGGCCGCTTATGGCATCATTTCTTTTTCCGTGAGTCAACCCTCCCTCCTTCTCCCCACCATCTTCGCAGAACCACCCTCACACGAGAGTTAATTCACAGACAAGATGACGGAACCCTCTGATCCAGCGCCGACTGCGCCAGTCTCAACACCTGCCTCATCGGCACCAGGGCAAGCTCAGCCCGCGACCGAAAACTCTCCGCAGACTCTCCCGATCCGCGACTCAAAACCCACCCAACCCACCGGAGATGCGCCCGCGTCCACAGACGGCGCCGCAGACAAGCCGCTTAGCCCAGCTGAGTTGAAGAAGAAGGCCAAGGCCGATAAGGCTGCCCGGCGCATCCGAGAGAAACTTGAGAGGGAAGGAGGTACCACCGGCAGTACCACTCCCACTCCTAGTGTCGGAGCTCAGGCTCGTCCACCAAGTACACCAAAAAAGGATGCTACTGGTACTGGCTCTGCGCAGAAGGGACCCCGAGCGCCACCCCCGCGCCGTGGCTCAGGTCCCGTCGCGCAAACTGGGTCCGTTCTCGTGGAGCAAAAGAAAAAGAAGGATGATAAGAAGGTTTCTGTCTTTGGCCATTTGTATGGACAACAGCGCCGCGTCACTGTCGCCGGCGCCACCAAGGAAGTACACCATGCTATCCTGGCCTTGGGCATGCAATTGATGGACTACACTATCTGCGGCAGCAGTGCGCGTTGCGTGGCAACGTTGATTGCTTTTAAACGAGTATGTTGTTTCTCTTGTTTCATGCTATGACACATGCCCATGACCATGTATGCTGACAAGTCGCTTTCTAAAGCTCATTGAATCTTACACAACACCCATGGGCACCTCGCTGGCTCGCCACCTGACAACACATCTCTCGTCCCAAATCACCTACCTCTCGACATGTCGACCCCTCTCCATCAGTCAGGGAAATGCCATCCGTGCCTTGAAGCTGTTCATTGCTGGCATTGATCCCTCTACCCCCGAGGCGAGTGCAAAGATTTCACTCTGCGAATATATCGATAGCTTTATCCGGGAGAAAATTACCGTCGCCGACCAGGTCATTGCAGACAGCGCAGCACAGAAGATCCAAGACGGCGACGTGATTGTGACATTTGCCGGCAGCAGCATCGTCAAGCAGACACTTTTGTTAGCATACAACCGAGGCAAGCGATTCCGCGTCTCAATCATCGACTCACGGCCCCTCTTTGAAGGCAAGAGCCTCGCCCGCGATCTCGCCAAGAGCGGGCTCGATGTCCAATACTCCCTCGTCCACTCCATCACCCACGCCATCAAGGATGCCACAAAGGTCTTCCTCGGCGCTCACGCCATGACCAGTAACGGCGGCTTGTACTCCCGCGTCGGCACCGCCCTTGTCGCCATGTCCGCGAAAGAGCGCGCCAGTGGCGTCGAAATCCCTGTCATTGTCTGCTGCGAGACAATCAAGTTCACCGACCGCGTCGCCCTCGACAGCATCGTCGTTAACGAGATCGCCGACGCCAACGAGTTGCTACCAATGGACACCCCTGTCTCCCTCGTCGTTCCCAACCCAGATGCGCATGTCCCCCCTACGCCTGAGAATAAGAAGGGCGGAAACCGCACCCCGGCTCCCGAACCTCTCGTTACCCCGCATAAGACCTCTTCGTCACCTCTTGCGGACTGGCATAACACTCCCAACCTGCAGCTGCTGAACATCATGTATGACGTTACCCCTGCTGAATACGTCGACATGGTTATTACTGAGATGGGCAGTCTTCCTCCCAGTGCTGTCCCGATCGTCCACCGTATGGTGACAAACCTGTGATGTATTGCTTTGTTCGCTTTTTCTACAACATGACCACGAATCTGGAGCGTATTGAACGTGTAATCTAAATTAAAAGCAATGAGAATTGTTCTGACTGCCTAGGCGTTGTGATTTCCGGGTCTTTTTCTTTCCTTCTTACTTTCTTTCTTTCTCTTTTTTATCCCTCTTTTCTTTTTTGGTGTACTTGTGGACTGGCTGTTTTGGGCTGGTTTACATACATACCTGATTACGTAGGTGTATACTGTTTTTCCCGTTTCTTATACTTGTTATACTCGCTGGATTTTGGTTTTGCCATGCAAAACGACACTTGAGGATGTCGGAACAGATAGACGATAGACCTCTTATATCGTGGGTTTTGGAATAGGTGATTCCCGTCTTCTCTCTTCTCTTACTTGTAGATGTACTCAGTAGTGCAGGACTATTTGAATACTACCATCACCAAACGCCTTGGAGTAATGTAAACTTCCCTGCCAACAACTCGGACTTTTTCTGTAAAATGTCAACTAAGCCTAGGTCTTGTCGAGTAGAATACGAATATTTCATTTGGCGATGGATGTATACATACATATGAATGAAGATATTGGAGTGGGATTCTCTATCTCAGTCAAACGAGCGCCACAGAAACCTTGGAAGTTTACCACAACCCAACCAATCAATATTTGCCAGAAATAAGCCGCAGGTTAATCGTGCCAAGCCCATCCCCACCTTAGGAACCCCCTGGTAGGTAGTCACTTCGTGCAAACCGCTCGGGAGCGCATACAGGCCATATTCTAATCCTGTGACTGACAACGCACACCTCTAGCAACTTTCTGACCCTGTCTCCTTTCCACTCTCTAACTATTTCCAGTCTCATCTCAATTTCTATAGTCTCCTTCTTTACTCTGTCACGATGTGGCAACCAGTTGCTCTTCCCTTCAAGAATGACTCTCTGCCTCTGCCCGCTCTACCTACTCCAGATGAAATCCGGGCATGTCCCAATATTTTTGGGAGCGCGCACATGTCAAGCTCGCTGCTGTGAACGATGAGATTGTTGTTAAATTTGGTACACCAGTGAATGCATAGGAGGGACAAGCTTTGGTTTTACCTCGAACAATACGTCCATAATGTCCCGGCTCCCAGACTGTACGCAGTGTACCATGATGCTAAGCAACTCTTCCTGGTTATGCAACGCGCTCCAGGTGTGCGACTGAGCTCAATTTGGCCGTCATTGACTGAGTCTGACAAAGATGACATTGTCGCCAAACTCCGCAAGGCAGTTGATACTTTGCGACAGGCCAAGACTCCATGGCCCGATGACTTTTATGGAAGCTTGGATGGTGGGGGTGTACACCATTATTTATTCTAGTGCCGGAAGGTCGGTGGAAAGTATTTGGGGCCATTCCATGGTGAAGCTGCCTTTGTTGCAGGGCTCACAGGGAATTACCGAGCTGCAATTGAACGTGACAGTCTGCCGGACTTCAAAGCTCGCTTCTATGAAATCTCCCGCCCTCGTATACTTCAAGGTCACCGGCCAACATTGACACACGGGGACATTCAGCCAAAGAACATTGTGGTCGCGGAGAGAGGCCGCAATTCTTGGGGAGAGCGATCCTTCGACATCACGCTTGTGGATTGGGAAGCTGCTGGCTGGTATTCTGACTTCTGGGAATACTTCAGTGCGTTTTCGACGCCCGCGTTTCTCGACTGGACGGATGACTGGCGCTGGCGAATTCATGAGTCTCTTCAAATATGGCCGGCCGAAATGGGAATAATGCGCATGATGGATAAAGATTGGCTATAACTCGAGTGATTGGGAAAGGCCTTGGCTGCTAAATGTAAGTAATCAATGGTTAGGAACTGGCAGGAGACAAAGCAGCAGCAGCGAGGAACGGGATCCCAATAATGAGGCTTTCATCGCTTGGTCTTCTTCAAAAGCTGATGCAGGCTCTCAGCACCTCAGCACCACACAGAAAATTCAGTCTCGTCCTATTCTATTATTCCATGCTAGTAAATGGCAGGTCGGATTAGGTGTCCAGCCTTCAAGTCTTGAGCGGGTCACCATGGCGAAAGAGGCTTTTCAGAATGGGTTGGTCTTAGTCTTATTTCCTGGACTTCAAGGAAACAGCGACGGGCTGAAACGTCCAGTTGACACTGACACGCAAGACGAAACGAGCATCGTGGAGCCAGACAACTTATATTAGATGGGGCGGACGAGCAGTTAGTTGACCGGAGTTTCGCTTAAAGCGACCTAGAGTTCACGTTCCAGGTTCTCCAGCTTGCGTGGGTGACAGACAGCTCGTAGAATCTAGTGTGATTTCTTCCAATCTGTGCAGGTGACAGGTCGCTGTAGGGTGTGTAGACGATAACGATGCCGGGTCTATAGTGATTTCTTTTAGGTGAGAGCTCGTTGAATTTGCGTGTTCACAAACACATCCTTAATCTAATCAGCAGTCTCATCATAAAACACGTCACTCGAACACGAGCTTTTGGTGGCAATACCGATCCTTTCTCTTACTGATCACGTAGGCCATATCTTAGATGTCATTCCAAACCCTGTCCTCTAGATGAGGAAGTGAATATTGCGATGATCCAGCGGCATGTTGTTTCCCAAGCCCCTTAACTAGCAGTGGCTTCGTGAAGAACCCCACTGTGGAGATGGCTGCGGGTGGTTTGATAAAGCCGAAGGGAAAGTCTTATTTTAGCAGTCTTGTAGGTAGATAGACTCCTTAGCCCCAAATTCCATAAATATTAGTCCACTCTCATAGTTCACCAAACCCCTTGCCGATACACATCTATCAACTTGTGATGTTCATTCAGTTCTTATAACGAAGAAAAGCAGAACCAACAACGTCAATGGATAACCATCAATTAATGATTTTAAGATATAACCAACCGGATATTCCAAGGTTGGTTTAGTATGTACATCGCCACACATATAGTGCCTGGTATGTCCTTTTGATAATGCAAGTAAACCCAGGAAACAGTTTGGCCGAGTGGTTGGGTCGCCTGCCAAGCGAGTCCCTTCGGGGACCAGACGTAGAATCTCTGAGCTGTCGTTTCATCTCTCCCTCTTACCTCTTCTCCCCACCTTTTTCTTTTTCTTTTCTTTTAGCTGGAATTATGTATCCTTGCAACATATGAATGTGATTCTCTCTTAAAGATATATGCCTCCTATAGCCCTGGAATGGAGTATTGTATAGGGTGAATTATGGGCAAGGGATTGGCGCATGCTGTACCATCCACATGGCGAGCGGTGTACCCAAGTGTTATTCTGCCGTCAACAACCATCTACACGCCGATAAGCTATAGTGAGCCTGCCCAGGTGCTCTTTCACAAGTCGATTGTCAACTATCACATCTCCCGAGATCTCGACAAGGGGATCACGAAACCCTCAAAATGGTACATACGGAACTCTAACCACCCTCCAGAATTTCCCAGAGAGTCCACCAAATCCCAAGCTAACACCCAAACCACCAGAGCAAGGACTCCTCCGCCTCATACCTACACATGCACCAGCCGCGGCTAGCTGACCTCTTCGAAGAATTTACACGCCCACACACCTCAACAGCCACCAACTCAATAACAGACCCACACAACGCCAACAGCGCCTCTGCCGCAAGCCGCGAAGCATCAGGCACAGCCGCAAATGCCGTAACCTACGGCTCGACTTCTCCCTCCACAATCCCATCATTCCTACCTATTGAAGACATCTACGTGGCACCGCAATACCAGCCCCCGAACCCCGAAGATGAGGACGACGTCGTCCCAGACCAGCACGCGGCGTTCGGTATTACCCGCGCTATGGAGCGGAGACGGGATGCTGTGTGGCGTGATCTTGGTCTTGAGGCACTTGTCAATGGCGAAGGGCATGGGGCTGATGCTGGGCCTTTGACTGGCCCTGGAGGCGCTGGTGCTGCTGGGACTGCGACCTCTGGGCCTGGGGCGACGCTGCGGGGTAGTGGAGGTGGTGCGGCGGCCGCCGGGGCGCCTGTTATTAGGGTCAGGGATTCTGGACGGAGGATGGGTGGGCGCAGGGTTATTGGGTTGCGGTAATGTCGCGGGGTTGCTCTTTACTGGAGTTGGTGCTGCGAATGCTTTCTACCTATCTGTATGGGCAGGTCACGGTGTTACTTGCATTTTTACTGGAGCATGTCTTTCGGGCTGGATAGCCTCGTTATGATACCCACGTTGGATGTATCCCTTCAGTTACGATATATCTTGAAGATCATTGATTCGTTTCCACTTGTGGTTTTGTTCCAAGAACCGCCAATATCAAATGGCTGCAGACCTAGCTTAATCTGAGCCTTAACGCCGCGCGTAATGCGATATGATTATACATGCCACTAGATACGATTGATATCCACCCGAGCCCGCTCGTACAGCTTGTGGCTCAACTGTTTCTGTTCGCGCTCGTCCTCTGCCACCAGTCGTGGGTGGATGGCCATCTGCGCGTATGAACCCGCAGCGCGACGCTTTGACAGAGTACCTGGGTTGATGACTAGCACACTGTCAACGACCTGCAGAAATGACAAAGTTAGCAGGTTTGCGGAAGTTGAAAACGAAAAGCCTAGTCTAGATATAACATACCTTTACGAAAGGCGGCAGCATACTAGGGACGATTAAAATATCAGGCCGGACATTCCACCACTCGCCCAATTTCATGTAGGGCAGGTCTATCATAGCGCCTGTAGCCATGCCACCTTCGGTCCCGGGCTTTGGAAGATTTGACCGTGCGGTCGGAGGGAACAAGGGGAAGAAATGGCGTTGCTCGACGAGGTACTTCGGCAGACGGGTGAGCAGGTTGCCTTCTGCAGGCCGACCATACAAGACCTCTTCGCGGCGAAGCTCGGAGAGCACATCGTGTGAGCACATTCCAATAACGCATTCGTTGAACGACAATGTGACGGGATTTGAGACCATGCGGACCTGCTTGGGTAGACCCAGTTCCTTCTTGGGGATCTGCTCCTGGGGCCAGGAGACATGCCGGCTGAGTGCATCCCGCACAGACGGAACCATCACGATCGTGATGCTTGGGACGGCCGCTGCAAGTCGTGCTAATGGGGCTGAGATACAGTGCCGGAACATTATGGACAGTGTAGCTGTGTCCGGGTCGAGACCCTTGATGTCTGGTAGGTCGAAATCGCCTGATGCAAGAAGAGGATGCTCAATGTCCAGGAACGGTCCCATCAGCACCAGACTATCGGCGTAGTTTTCGGCTGCCTTCTGACATAGTTCCTGCAGTGGCTCGAAGTCCAGGTTGTCATCTGCTGTGTAGGGCCCGGCCGCAATCATGACATTAAGGGGTGGGTTTGCATCTCCGTCAAGTCGCTCGTTGATGTTGTCCAGTGCGACAGCTGAAGATGCGGCTGGCGGTAATAGGGGAATTGGGAGTACTTCCTTGACGGTGAAATATTCACCAGAAGGGTTGATTCCCCGGAGAGCTACGATCTGGCCTGGGAAAAAGTTCACCGAGGGTACCGAATCCACCTTCAAAGGGACACGTCTACCAGCTCCAGTCCGGCGCGAAGTCTCAAGTACGAGGGACGCTGGGTTCAACTTTCCCTCGAGACTGTCGGAAGCGATCCGTCCAACAGCAATGATCTCGCTTGTGCTCTGGATGGCTGCACTCCCAAAGGTAATATCGTCTGAATTGAATTCTGCCTGGAATATAGTCGCGAACTCGTCGATACGATCATCCAAAATCTCCGATGCTTCTGACAATTTCATGCCCATGGGCTTATAGCCAAACTTTTTGAGGTCCGTATTCGCGGTGGGCTTAATGCGCGCCTCGGAAAATGGCGCCATTGGGGTTTCTGGCAAGGATAGGTGCGCATTGAGCGTTTCCACCGTCTGGCCAGGATTTGGTCGATCGGAGAACGAAACTGCTCTGTCCATGATGTCAGCACCTTCAATACATCATGTATGTCCAAAAAACACATACTGCATTCCATCGCCAGGTGTTCCAGTGGGTGTGTTTGTGCCGGCTTGTGATCCAACCTTTTCGAACTTGCTGACTCTTGGTGTAGCGGGCGAGGTGAATTCGGCTTTGCGCTTTGCGGATCCAAATCCATTCCCAGTTCGAACATTCGAGGCAGTGGGTGTCAATTGATCGAACATCCCAAACATATCTCCGCCGGCTGCGGCCGCGCCCCGCGGAGTTGCCGTGTTTGCGCTTCGTTTTTCTGTGTGCCGGCCAGCCTTGTCACGACTTTCACGCTCCAGAGCTTCTTGGACATCTTGTTTAAAGCCTCGCACTGTTTCCATGGTCAATGTCACTCCCTCGCCCATCTTTATGCTGTATGATTCCCATTTGTAGAAGAGCTCCTCCGCGGGGATCGAATGCACCCGCAGCATGGAGAGGAGCTCGGCAAGGATGTCTTTTGGAATTCCATCGGAGAATGAGCCTGCAAAAAACTCATTGAGCTCTCCCTCGGCGTCCATTGTGGCGAAATGTGTATCGTGGAAGGGCAATGGACCTTCAAAGTGCAGACACGCGCAAGACGCGTGAGACCGTGTCGCTGACCTAAGCAGCTCAAAGCAGTAATATCATTCGAGCATTTGATCGGAGTGGACCTGTCGATCGTGATAATTGGTGATTAGCCTTGCCCCGAGATTTATTCTTCATTCTTTAGATTTCCACGTGTCATTGTATAGTCTATATATTTAGGTACAAGCCAAGATCATGTCAACCTCTGAACAAGATGCTACTGCGCATGCCCCCGCCAATGGCGATACTGTGTCCGGTACCAACGGACAGACATCGCCCGAATCAGCCCCCGTGAACGCCCAGGCCGAGTCTACTTCGACCGCGAAGCCAATTGACCCCGAGCTACCGACATCCGCCGCAGACGGTCTCATCCAGAAGCCTTTTCCTAGGCCGCTAGACACAGCCGAGCCAGCAGCACCCGCGGACCTTACCCCGGACCAACAATCCAAGTACGAGGCTGTGCTTAAGTCCGCTTCATCATGGACCACAGTCGCAACTAAGGCCGAGAAGAATGCCCCGACGTCTCCCATAACTGAGGATGAGAAGATGTGGTTGAGCCGCGAATGTCTCCTGCGCTACCTACGCGCGACCAAGTGGAACGTCTCCGAGGCTGAGACACGCCTCCAGAGCACTCTCACATGGCGCCGCGAGTATGACCTGAAGAAATTGACGCCTGATTATATTTCAATTGAGAATGAAACCGGCAAGCAGGTCATTTTGGGCTATGATATCAACGGGCGGCCATGTCTGTATCTCTTGCCTTCCAACCAGAACACGGAAAAGAGTGACCGCCAGCTCGAGCACCTTGTCTTCATGCTGGAGCGGGCCATTGATCTCATGGGACCTGGCCAGGATACTCTTGCCCTAATTGTCAACTTCAAAGAGACAAAGTCTGGCCAGAACGCAAGCATCGGTCAGGCCAAGCAGACGCTCGGCTTCTTGCAGAACCACTACCCTGAGAGACTTGGTCGGGCTCTGGTGATTAACGGTTAGTGATTGCATATTGCAGGCAGTCTTATGACAAGTTACTAATTTCGTATGATAGTGCCCTTCGTCATCTGGGGATTCTTCAAATTGATCACACCCTTGATTGACCCGAACACTCGACAGAAGCTCAAGTTCAATGAGGACTTGCGTCAACACGTCCCGCCTAGCCATCTTATGAAGTCTGTGGGTGGTGACGTCGAGTTCCGCTATGATCATGCATCCTACTGGCCTGCATTGAACAAGCTGGCTGATCAGCGACGTGAGGCTTACCGTGAACGCTGGGTTCAGGGTGGCAAGCAGGTCGGCGAGTTTGAGAACTACCTGAAGGGTGAGAACGTTCCCAGCCTATCTCAGACCCAGGTTGAGGCCAAGGCCAGCGAACAACCTTGATGAGAGCATATCATTTTGCACCTATCTTGGTATATTTGTCACTTATGGTCACCATTTCTCTTTTCTTCTATTGGTCAATAGCCGGCATTCTCTCACAGCGCTGGGGTGATTTACTGTTGGATTCTTTTACATATACTGCATTGTTTCGACACGTCTGTCCATGGACTGTCAATCTTTGTCAATAATTAAGCGATAGAGCACCCAAATTATAGATACTAATTTTTCTTGAGTTTTCTTGTTTCCTGTCTCGCATGCACGCCAATTTGGATCCTTGGGAGAGAAGACAAAAAAGATAGATATTGATATTGCGGTAAAACCCACACTAGGTTGCACTAGACGACGCGCGAAGAAAAGGGCCTTGGGGGCTTATCTTACGTGAAAACTACACTCTCATGGAACTATTAATTATGTATGGATCATGACCAGTTAGAATGCGAAGTATATCATTATGGCGTAAGGAGCTGGACACAGTCACCATCTCTCTAGATTTAGATGACATCCAATCTCAACAGTATCATCTTTCTTCTCTTCCATCAGATACCATAATTCAGCTTAACCATGCTCCTCGGATATCACCATTGAAATTCCTGTGTTCCAATTTAGTCAAGTTTCCTCCTTGTCTGGGACTATCATTAGCTTACCTCAGTATAGAACGTTATCGATGGTCCGTCATTAAGCAACTCATTGTTCACAGCTTTCCGTGTTGTACCCAGAAGCTGGCTAGGACCACAAGCACCAACAATCATGTGGTCGTCTGATCTGCCACTTTCAGCGGCAGCGGTCGCAATCAAGTTGCCAATATCCGGGCGTCCTGGCAAGATCTCGTTGACTGAAGAAGAAATATTACCCGTAGGGTGTTGTCCAGCGCCTTTCTCAGGGTCACTCGTTAACAAGGCTGGAGAAGGTCCTGTTGGGATTATATCGTCCTTCTCAGACACTTTTTCTGATGAAGAGCTTGGGGATGTGGATGACGATGTTCCGGACAGGTCAGCCTGACCGGTGACGTGAATGATCAGATTCACTTCTGGATGCGACTGAAGCTGCTTGAGCTCTTGGGCATACCACTCGAGACTCTCTATGGGACCGAGTTAGTTGATGAGAGTATGTAAACGTTGTTCCCTCTAACATACCTTGATGTCTCACTACCCAAATAAAATCAATGGACTTCACTGCCTTGTTGGATGCCTCGATCAGGGCTAGTGCAATAGCAAACGTGAAGCTAGCACCGCTGCCACCGGCGACAAGAACGACTTTCTCAAACACTTTGAAGTTCGGGATTTGACCATATGCACCGTCTACAGAACAGCGAAGAGACCTCCCCGGGAACTCTTGAGCAGCTTTATATAAATCCCGCGTAAAGCCATCGTACACTCGAATAACGAACTCGGATGGATCCGAAGATAATAGAGTGAACGGATGGCTTTCAGCCCAGCTGATGGCGGGAACCCACAAGAATGCGTGGGAACCTGGAGTGGAGTGCATGCGACGGTTGAGTTTCACTCGAAGGGCATTGTTGGGTAAAGCAGTGACAGTGAGAGAATTTCCAAAGAAGTTCCAAAGCAACTTTGCGCCGCGGATAATGCGGTCCAAGGCCCAAACAGAGGCAGTGAAAATCACGATAATCAACACTGAAGTTGAAAATTTCGGACGGTGCATTCCGACTGTGATCATAATCAAAATGAACATAGTTATGTGCAGCATATAGAAGACTGTAGATATTTAGAAGTGCAAATCATAGGACTAGACGAAGGAATGACCCACGTTCATAATACCCGCGCATGAAGTATTTGATAGTTGAAAGGCCAATGATTATCATAGCGCAACCTGCAATTGGGCCGACAAAGATTTCTCGTTCTTTCATTTCGGCCAAGTTCCCAATCTCCGACCAGGCAGATACGTACACTACACCATGCAAGACGCTTGTGAAGATGCAGGTATAACCGGCAACCTTGTGTAGCGGGCGGAGCTTTTCGTACGATATGGCAGTCAAGGGGGCGAGGGGCGTATTCTTCAAGGCCAAAAAGACCAAAAGCACTAAGTTTGCAACTGAAACCCTGTTTATTGATGCTTGTCAGTTTCTAGACCGTAGGAGCAAGATATATCGAGAACACGTACCAGCCAAATCGTTTGGAAACCTATATATGTAGGAACTCGTCAGTAAAAATGTATATGCTATGGCCAGAGAATGGCTCACATCGATGAGTTTTGTAAGGTCTATTCTGGTCAAAGCGAGAATCAAGTTGATAGCCCAGTAGATGATATACAGAAGAGACCTATCTGTCCTTAATCCCATCGTTGAACTAGAAAGAAAGCATTGAGCTTGTCTGTTACATTCAGATGATCAGTATTATCCTTGGTTATATTAGCAACGAACATACCTATACTTCCGAGTCAATGTAGAATGATTCTTCCTTCGGCCATAACGAAAGTGAATTACACTTGACCAGTGGTATACAGCAAAAAGAACCATAATTGCACCGATAGCGATGGCAAAATACTTCACAGTCCACTTATTGTTAGACAGGCGCAATGCCTTCATAGCAGCCTTTGCAGCTTTGGAGTCACTCATCCTGACTGCCGCAGATAGACTCAACGTAGAAGCTTGGAAAGGAAAATCTCTAGGATCAACACAACCTGACCGGGGAGGTCAATTATTAATTTCTCTTCCTCCCATTGGAACTGCGCCGGAGAAAACCGTGCCAAGAGCATGAACTAAAGACTCCACTGATGTGTACTCGGAAGTCGCGTGCCAAGAGGATGAACTAAAGAGTCCACTCTTGCAGGGTCTGCTTTCGGCCTACTTCCGTGTCTCGTAGGATGCGGGCTATGTCAAACGGAGCACTTCCCATATTGTAATCTCCCGAGAACCATTCCCCACACCCAGTTAGGAAGTGTAAGCAGAATATCACCTGCGTGCGTACGTAGGTGGAAGAGGGATAGAGAAAGCGGTTGGACGACACTGTTCTTTACCAACCTCAAATAACCATATAAAACCATCTAACGACGGCTCTTTATCGGTTCTTCACCGGTTCCTCAGCGGACGTTAAACGGGATTTTGACGGAATTTTAGCGGCTATTTACTCGAAAGTAGGTTGCTAGTAGGTCTATAAAAAGAAATAAGCGGTTAATTAATAGTGGCTATATATTCATGGTCGTTCAACCGTTTTCTGAATCTCTATTCTTCCCATAACGTACTAACCTGTTGTTGTAACTGTTCTCGCGTTCTGGTAGGGCCGGAATGAAAGATAAGCCTTGGTCGTCGGGCAAGCATCAAGTCTGGGCATTCTACGCGTTCCTTTCAGCCTCTGGAAGAAACGGATGTACATTAGGAACGAACAACATGAAGTATGGGTCACATTGACTGGTGAAATCCATTCAAATCTGTTAAGGATTTCACCGCACGCTGCATAGGGTAAGGGTGTCCACGGGTAGTTTCCCTGCATACAACATACCTACCTAATAAGAAAATTCTAATCAATCAGATAAAACTTAAACTCTCCCGAATCTGATAAAACTTCCTCCAATAATCTCCGTGGCAAGTTTCCTATCTTTCCATGGAAAGTTGGTGGCGCTAAGTTTGAAACATACGGAGAAAGATGTCAGCTGCATAGGGCAGAAGATGGTATTTGCAGGCAGGAGACCATATAATATAAACTGGTGGCTGAGGTCGGTAAGCCACAAATCACATAATAAAATAACTAGTCGGGACTATGCTTTCATTACTGCTCAATTCGCCATACTCCTTGGGAGATAAGGTATAGCGTTGATCTTCTATGCAGCCAAGAAAGCTCGACGTGTACATGCTAATCCAAGGCTTACCGGTGGACGTTGAGGGTCCAAGATTGACAAACTTTTTCACTCGTTCCAAGGTTCCGAATCGGTTGAGCGGGTCCACGGGCACTTAGTATACATCCATGGATACCTCAGCCACCGTAGTATGATAAGATTATCAATCAGTCAAATACTGCCTAGGTACTCCATAGCAGTCCATGGTTACGGTATTAGTGCGGGTCGGAAAGTGCTAGAACCCAGGTCATTTCCATGTGGCTCTCTGAGCTCACGCATCAGATCCCTCACTGAACAAGGTATCCCAACCGGCCTGACCAATTCATGAGAAGAATTCAGATTTCTGCAGCGCGTTTAGCTAGACTATCTGATACTAAGAACCCTTGCATTAGAGAGAAAGTTCATGCAGATTACCTACCTTTTGCGCCCATGGAACCTATGGATTCGGGGCAGTGCTCAGGTGGGGAAGTAGGCGCTCCACCCACTTCATGGCCACGAGACACCAAGAACTCGGGAGACCCTGCATGAAAGCTTAGTGCCGCTTGGCAGAAACGGTAATAGTAAAATTACTAGTTCACATTTGAAACCAACATTGAATTTTTCAATAATTTACAGAATCAGACTTTGGAAGCTCATCATTTCCTCCCGAGGTTGACCCTCTCGCCCAATGAGCTTGCTTACGCCCAGTGGCCCTCTCGCTGAAAGACTCTCCTCTGGCCCATATAGCCCTGTCCTATATGGAAACAGACCGATCCGTCTGGCCAATTGAATCTAAAGAGCCAAAACACCAGTCTCTGCACGCTTCTCTGAAACGGGAACTGTTGTCTCAACGGGTGCTGTCGGATCTTCATAGGGACGGCGCAGAATAAAGGCTTTGGCCTTGGCCTTGGCCTTCGCGACCTTGTTCATAGTCGGGTCAATGACAGGAATAGCTCCGCGCTTCTCACGGTAGAACATCAGCCCGTAGCCAATCATGACACATATCCAGTACAAGTTGTAAGAGATCACGGAGCCATAGTCAGCAGAATTGGTCCAACCAAGAAGCGCGTTGAAGATACCCCAACCGCCGCCACCTGCGATCAACGGGCTACAACAATTCACGTGCCAGACGCTCTGTCGGATGTCGTAGGATCCGGGACCAGTGCCCGTCTCCGCCGCGTCACCTCCGATAGCGTGATTCCAGGCGTTGTTCTCCAAGAACCAGACACCACGCGAGAAAAGACCGGCAGCAACGAGGTAGAGAAAGCAAGTGGAAATAATCATGAATATCTGCATCGAAGTCTGTCGTCCGCCTCTATGGGTACATTAGCCCTGTATATTTCTTGAAAACAGTCGAATTAACATACCGGTAGATAATATAGCCCACTGCGATACCGGCCAAAAGGCCGCAAACGACGGCCAAGGGGAAGGAAGAGGCAGGAAGCCCTAATCCAACGCCGCCGACATATACAACGGCCTCGAGACCCTCACGGAGAATCGTGATAAATGGCAGGATAAACATAGCGTATTTCTCCAGCCATCTTTTGACGCGACCCTTTCCTGTCTCGTTAGGATCGTGCTCGTGTTCGAGGGCCTTGGCGAGCTTGACACGCCATTTGTCTTGAAGTTTAGACACGCGTAGAAGGGCAGCGCCCATAATAGTGATAATGATCGACGAGACAATTCCCAGAACACCTTCCCAAATATCTTCAGTACTGGAGAAAGTGTCCGTTCCGAGGCCATAAAAGGCACCAATCATGCCTGACCCGACTGCGAGACAAACAAATAGGCCTAAGCCGCATCCTAGCCAGACCTGTTTCCTTTAGCCTGCAAAATTGCAAAAATTGTAAGAGTTGGCCGCATACTTGTTTCACCAGTCTTTTATACGTCGGGCGATCACTCTCGTACAGCGATTGCTTCAAGAAAGCCAGTAGAACGGACACAACCACAGTCGTCTCGAGACATTCTCGAAAGATAACAAAAAACACTGTTTGAGCCGAGTTAATAAGCAGCCGTGTTTTCGAAAGAGCAGTGCATGAACTATACCGGTGACAGCGAAAACCTGGTTGTTACCCATGATGCTTGATATGAGTTTGACAGTTCCCCAAGGCTCATAGAAGAAGAGATTCAAAGAACAAAGTCATTGGAACCCAAATGAGCACCGGATAAGGCCCCTTGTAGGTAACCCCGCCGGTTAAAGTATTATCGTTGGGGATTCCAAATTCAAAATTACACGGGCTCCAACAAGCGCTTTGACTTTCAGCGACCCACTTGTATTGAGCTTAGCTTTTTGGTATTGAGCTTACCTAGGTAGTTTTTCGTGAATTCCCGTATCAGAAGCTTTTTTCGAGCGTCTGGCGTTATGATTCGTGATCGTCGTTTAAGACATTTCCACTTGGGCACATGTCCAGGTCCAGGTCCAGCCACCGGAGTTCTGTTGAATTGGAAAAATAACGCGAGAGCGGTCATGCCATATTTCTCAATTCGGCAAGTGAGCACAAGTAGGTGAAAATCTAATTCGCCTACTAGATTAAGCGAACCCTATTTGGCCCAATGACACCATGTTAGACCTCGAACTAAACCAATGGAAAGTTGGCGACCTCCCACGGGTTCCATCTGATTAAGATGAAAGAAGCTTCCTTGGAAGTTTGATAAGAAGATCGGAAAGGATTAGGTTTCCGCTTATCAATCTTGTATTGCGCTAGGACCCGTGAACTGTTCCAAGACTCCGTTCCCCAGCTCGTGCCTAGGTAGTCTTTTTGTTCGCCCTCTCTCTTCGGGAAACCGGAAATCCTTCTGCTACTTCCTCCCTGGCCAAACGTTGAAGCATGGCTATATATCATGGAATGCTGTTCCGCCTTATGGCAGTACTACTTTTTGTGCAGTACTGTCAAGCGAAGACAGTGAATCTGGATTTCAATGTCACTTGGGTTAATGCGAACCCTGATGGCCTCCATGAGCGCAAGGTGGTGGGGATCAACGGTCAGTGGCCGCTACCTGTTATTGAGGTGGACAAGGGAGATCGCCTGATTGTCAACATGTATAACGGGCTTGGGGACAAGGAGACCTCCATCCATTGGCACGGAATGTTCCAAAATGGCACAAATAATATGGATGGTCCGTCGATGGTTACCCAATGCCCAGTCCCTCCTGGTGCCTCAATTACCTACAACTTCACCATCCCCCAAAATGGTACTTACTGGTATCATTGCCATACCGACTCCTGCTACCCGGACGGATATCGACAAGCTTTGATTGTGCACGATGATCAGGCATATTTCAACGATATGTATGATCATGAGCTTACCCTTACGATGAGTGATTGGTACCATGAGCTTATCGAGGATATCCCGTTCATTCGTGTTGAAAATCCAACGGGAGCTGAGCCTGTTCCGGATTCTTTCCTCTTCAATGACACTTTAAGCCTGAACATTCCCGTTGAAGCTGGAAAGACCTATTTGATGCGATTGATCAATATCGGTGCCTTTGTGGCGCAGTACTTCTATATAGAAGACCACACTTTCCGCATTGTCGAAATCGATGGAGTATACGTTGATGAGCAAGAGGCCGATACTCTTTATATCGCCGTTGCGCAGCGTTACTCCATCTTGGTCACTATGAAAAATTCTACGGATAAAAACTATCCTATCGTGACCGTTGCCGACTCGCTTCTACTGGATGTAATTTCGCCTTCTCTCCAGCTCAACCAAACCAATTGGCTCGAGTACAATAGAAATGCGCCGCATCCACAAGCTCCAATGAAGGTGGAAGTTTCCTCGGACCTTGTCCCATACGATGATATGAAACTCGTTCCTCACGACCGGATGGAGCTCCTCACAGAGCCTGATATGACTATTGAGGTCGACGTCATTATGGATAATCTGAATGACGGTGCGGGTTATGCGTTCTTCAACAATATCTCCTACACGAGGCCGAAGGTTCCAACATTATACTCGGTCCTCACATCTGGGGATTACGCCACGAACGCGCAGGTCTACGGAGAGTACACAAATCCGTTCGTCCTCCGCCACAACGCGGTCATCGAGGTTGTCCTCAATAACCTGGACGGCGGTTCACACCCCTTCCACCTGCACGGACACAACTTCCAGCTCGTCAGCCGCACTCCCTCATACGGTCCTTCTTTCCAGGACTTCGCCGACGGTGACCCAGTGCCTTTCAATGCCACAGAGAACCCTTCTAGTAGCTTCCCGAAATACCCTGCTCGCCGAGATACCTTCGTCGCACCACCCCAGGGTAATTTTGTCATCCGTTTCGTCGCTGATAACCCTGGTGTTTGGTTGTTCCACTGCCACATTGACTGGCATATGTCGCAGGGCTTGGCAATGTCATTCATCGAAGCCCCAAAGCAGATTCAGGAGCAAATGTCGCTGACAGAGAGCGAAATCAACATCTGCAAGGCTGGAAACATGTCATACGAGGGCAACGCTGCCGCTAACACGGAAGACCTGCTCGACTTAACCGGTCAAAACAAGCAGCTTCCGTGGCTATCTGCTGGGTTTACGCCGAGGGGAATTGTCGCAATGGTCTTCTCCTGTGTGTCCGCTTTCCTGGGCATGGCATTCATCGCCGTCTACGGTATCTCAGGCATCCAATCTAAGGAGGAGACTCCTGTGGTTACCGAGCGTGATGGATTGTGAGTTTCTTTTGGATTTTCTGCTGTACCTAAAATATACATTTATCCTGCCTAAGCGGATAAAAATTAGCATTCTCCTTGACGTCAACTCCTCCTTGCGGCATTTGTAGTATAACAAACACATTGCGAACACATCTATTGATTACTACATATGTATCCTGTCATCTGCTTCGTATTCGATACGCTGCTACGGTGATACTCGCAATAACCATGCCAAACGAGAATACAACGCTTCAATCCCGGTATACCTCTATTGTTAGACAACGCATCGACCGACAATGATTTCATAGATCGAGCTTCGCCAATGAGCAGCGACTGATGAACCCGCACCATAGAATAGATTTTAATGTGTTATTCCCTATTTTCTCCAACTCTAATGCCTGTACTTTCTATCCCTGATAGTGACACTGAGAAGGACGACATCGCATTCTAGTTCTAGGTATGTCTGCATTTGATAAAAGTGCATAAACTCAATAAATTTTGTTGAGACAGGTCATTTGTGAGATGTCTGGTTGGTCACCCTCTCACCTAGCTATTTAGCTAGCTTCTGTTTATTTGTTTATTTGCAGAGAATCAGTAGTTCTCTCCTCTTCGCTCTCTGGCCATGCTTCATATTCTGATATAGTTTTAAAACCTGGATATAACTAACTAGGTGTCCTTCTTGACACTGGTAGCTCCTACAGATATGGGGCTCGATTCGGCCCCAGCGGAATCAGACAAGGTTCTCGCCGTCATAATATTTAGTATATGGCTCCCTTCAGTGAGTGGGAGGATTACACCAGACAATGTATAGAGAGGGGGACATAAAGACTCACGGAGTTTGGGGTTTGGCGGTGGCTACCATGTCCTGTTGGAGGCGAACCCTTTCGATGGCACCATGCGGATTTTAGATTGCGGCGACGGCCCAGTTAAGTCGTATGTTGGTGAAACTCGACTTGAAGCCAGTAGAGATATTGAACAAAAGGGAGAAGCTGACTGTCACGTCAATATTTCAGATTCCAGATAAAATAATGCCTGGAGAATCGAGAAAATCGAGGAAATGCACAAGTATTGTGATGCGCAAACCCTTTACCGATGCCGATACACTCGGTCTTTCGCGGGTTGGAAAGACTCTTGCTCCTGTTCTCACCCTCGGCGGTAATCACCCTTCACTGCTGTTCCTGCCGCAGAGCGTCGATAAGGCCTGTGGGCCAGTCCGGTGACGGCTATCCACTTTGATAGCCATTTATGAGAAGTCAGTGGATGATTTTAGCCCGACAAAGCAGGTCGGCCGAGTGGTAAATACTAGGGATTCATGGAAGCGTAAGCTTTGGTGGCTCTCCTAGCAATTTCACTGCCATCAAGAAGACCCATGACCGCGTTGGAACCGACAATATGGCCTATCTTTCGATTTATATCGACACCCTGGATCCTGCTTGTAAGGGTATTCGCTGTGAAGAGGGCAAGTCGAATACCAAGTAGCAGATTACTTTAGTCGTTCTAGCTGCTGGTATTCGGGAGACTGGAGGATTGTCCATACGCGAACTGAGGACGATCATCCGTGGCCTTGGTGGGCTGAGCTTCGTGGTGTGGATATGATCGAGGTGGCACCGGCCTACGGTACCAATGCGCAGTTGTCCACTGTGTACGTGCTTTTTTTGCATAGGTATTTCAATAACTGGGTCGAAGAGACTGACTCAATCTTCTTGTAGGGCTGGCGCAGGTGTCTGTACGAGGTACTTATTAGTATAGGTCCATTGTGTATTGGCGAGGGAGGCAGGGAGAATATGCTCGGATCTATGCCCATAGTATAAGATTTAAGAATGGACGAATATTGAACGATTTGAAACGCCCATGTCAGGTTGTAAACATGAAAATTAGTTTCGTGCTTATGGACAGGTGTTAGGGTTCGGGTTCTAGCATATGCAATGTAATGCAAGGGATTTCACGAGCCCATAAATCGAAAAAAAAAGCCATCGGCGATCCTTCAACGGTTCTGATGATAGTGGAGCTCCTTTTTGATTCAATCCAGCCAAAGTCAAAAAGACACAAATCTGAGATTTTTGTGCCCAATTGTTTCAGCGCAATCTCCACTGGATGGAAAAGAAGGACTAACTATCTCAGGGGATGGATTTGAGCGAATTACAGAGTACCCTAGCTAAAGTTACCTGAATGGTTCAAGCCTTTAGACAACTAATTTGTATGTTGTAGTATGTTGTATATCGCCTAGTTATAGCGATGGACAAGCGATGCCCCGATTCTGAGGCCGGCTCCGCACCACAGTCAATTGGAGTGGACCCCCGGTTCCAAGAGAAACTACCGGATTGGTTTGACTGGCCCGTCTTGGACAAGATTAGGCTCCATCTGGAAATGAACGCGCAACGATCGGCACCCAGAAGGCCAGAAGATGGGCGAGTGAGAGGTTGAAAGGGAAGAAATGAGCTCGGATAGTTCCTTTCCCCCAGTGTACCCTGCTGAAGCTAAAAAGCCAACCTGAAACGAACGGGCACAACGTGGAGGTTCGAGACATTTTAATTTAATTTTAGCATTGAAGCCATAAGTAATAGTTCATCGATATAAGGCGCCAGACTATTGAACCATGTGCTCGGAGTATTCGAAAGGGGACATTGCTTAATACCTATATGTATAAACTACCGTAGGTACAATATACCAAGGAATATAACATAGAAATGATAATAAACCTTGGTACTCAGTACACTTTAACCCCTGAACCAAAGAAAAACGAGCGTCCTTTTAAATCCTCCTTCATCTTAAAATCAACGCTAAACTATTCTAAGCCGTGCACGGTGTCAATTTCTCCATCTTTCTATCGTCCATAATTTTGCCTCCCTACTTTCTCCTGTACAACGTGAAGGGGATTACGGACAGGCACGCGTCTTTTTTTTGCCCAGGTGGTTGTTGTGTTCAATCTCTTATCGACTTATCTCGATACGGGAAAAAGGAACAGGGAGACTCACACTCCTCTCCACATTCTAGACATCTCCCTATTCTGCGCTCCATGACTTCGATTGCTATCGATTAGCACGTCGAATTCATTTTATTTCTATTCCACCTGGAGTGGTCTCTTGGGGAGAGATGACAGTATCACCGCCAGCATCGCCCACTGGCGCCCCCCCGCGCCCCATTAGCGCTGTCATGCGCACTCCGCGTAGTGCCAGTCGTTTAAGTATGAGCAGCAGGCAAGGTGGAAGCCGTGCATCAGATGAGGATGGAAAGACTGCAGTTAAAGTCGGTATGTCGATTCTTTGGATTATTCCCCTGATCGCCCCATTCTAGGGTTACCCAGTACCTGCAATTGAGAATGCACAACATCAGCCGGCAATCAAATTCATAACTGACCTTGCGCAGCTGTCCGTGTCCGACCGCCACTGAAACCCACCGATCCTGGTTACGAATTGATTCCTCAGAGATTCCAGAAATCCATGGTCACGGTCACCGCGCCAACTAGTCTGGCCGTCGATGTGACCGCTGGGCGCAAACTATTTGTGTTCGATCGTGTTTTCCCTGAAACTACCGAACAGCAGGGAGTCTGGGAATATGTCAGTGATAGTGTCGACTCATTTGTTCAGGGATATAATGTGTCAATTATGGCATATGGCCAGTCCGGCGCGGGAAAGTCCTTCACAATGGGTACTTCGGGTCCCACTGAGCAGAATAACATGCAGAATATGGGTGAGTTTGAAAGATGGTTGTTTACGAATGAACCTCAGGGACTAACCGGATATGTTCATCTCGATTTAGGTATCATCCCCCGTGCTGCGCAGGTCTTGTTCGATAAATTAGAAGGCCCCTCAAAACATAATCGTAATGCCTCGCATCCAACTACTGGGCTCCGAACGCCTCAACGATATTCAATGACTTCTGCCGCAAACTTCGGGAAATTGCACCAGGAAAAAGAAAAGACCTGGCAGCTGAAGGCTACATATGTGGAGGTGCGCTTTTATTTTAGGAAACTGCTCGCGCGCGTTGGATTGTTCTGACCATCGTCCTACAGATCTATAATGAGCAGCTGAGAGATCTGCTCCTTCCGGAATCGACCGCCGCAAACGATCGCAGCAACGTCACGATACGTGAAGATACCAAGGGTCGCATTATCCTGACTGGGCTCCACCAGGTAAACATTAACTCGTTTGACGATCTGATCGGCGCCCTGAACTTTGGCTCGACCATCCGCCAAACAGACTCCACGGCAATCAACGCGAAATCGTCTCGATCACATGCCGTATTCAGCTTGAACCTTGTGCAGCGCAAGTCTTCACAAGCCCAAGCCACGCCGAGCCCCATAAAGGAGAAGCGCATGTCGATGCCAGTCGACACGTTCAACACCGGGGAATCAGTCACTATCGATAGCAAACTGCACTTCGTGGATCTAGCGGGTAGTGAGCGGCTGAAGAACACTGGCGCCTCCGGAGAACGCGCGAAGGAGGGTATCTCTATTAACGCTGGTTTGGCTGCGCTCGGCAAGGTCATCTCGCAGCTTTCCTCACGTCAACACGGCTCCCACGTCTCATACCGTGATTCAAAGCTTACACGACTGCTCCAGGATTCACTCGGTGGAACCGCTTACACGTACATGATTGCTTGCGTGACCCCCGCCGAGTTCCACATGAGCGAAACTTTGAACACAATATCATATGCTCAGCGGGCCAGAGCCATTCAGAGCAAACCTCACATTCAGCAAATTGCAGAAGAAGGCGACAAGCAGGCTTTGATTGAGCGACTCAAATCCGAGATATCTTTCTTGCGCCTGCAGATCCGCAACTCCGAAGGATCTGAGCGACGGGAAGGAGGATCCACCGAACGAAGTGAACGCAAGAACGAACGTGAAAAGCACCTGCAGAATCAGTTGTTGGACGTCCAAGAAAGCTACAATTCTCTCAGCCAGCGCCACGCCAAGTTGATTTCGAATATGGCCAATGATTCGCAGTCGCCTGCCGCCAGCGGCGAAATGGACGACGCTACCTCGGAGATTGGGAAGAACTCGGTTGAGAGAATGCAGCGGTCCAGGTCCTTTGCCGAGTCTGTGGAGCAGATGGTTTTGGAGTACGAAAAGACCATTCAAAGCTTGGAGGCTTCACTCTCTGAAACACGCGCCTCCCTCTCTATCACCGAGAGTGATTTACTCGAGCGTGAGACCAAGTGCGCGTATATTGAGACCATCAAGGATCAGCTTCAGACCCGTGTCCATAAGATGCAGGAGCGGGAAGCTAACACTGAGACCTACCTCCACGAACTGGAGTCTAGGCTTGATGGCCACTCTACAGGCGAAGAGAAGCACGCTGCCATTGTTGCCGAACTGCGCAAGGAATTAAGCCGGGCTCGCGATAGCGAAGCCAGTTGCGAGGAATACATCTCGACGCTTGAAGAACGACTCGCGGAGGGTGATCAGGACATGGAACTTATGCAGCGCGAGGTGATGCGCCTGGAACATGTCATTGAGCGCCAGCGAGGCCTCGGGCAGCTAGACCGCCTACTCAGCGAGCTGGACCAACAAAATGGTGGGGATAGACACGATGGAGCCAACGGCATTGACTACCCACACTATCACCAGGCCAGGGATACGCAGACCTCTCATAGACACACGCCCTCTCTGGACGTTCTCAGCGAAGCAGTCGAGACAGCCATTCCGGAATCAGACGAGGATCTTGTCGAGCCGACCATGGAGGCCGAGCTCGAGTCCATTGGAGAGTCCATTGGAGAGTCCGAGCAGGAGACGGGTGAAGACTTGAAGGTTCTGGAAACCGCGACCAGCAAGCTGGAGGCACGTCGCTCGGAGGCTCTTCGCTCGGACCCCGTCGCAAGTCCCGCCCAGTCCAAGTTCGTTGCCGATAAGCTTGAGACTGTCACTCAGGAGCTTCTCGACCTGCGTCTGCAGCACGAGAACACCATTGGTGACTTCGAGAATCTCGAATTCAAGTACGAACAAGCTCTCAAGGCCCTTGAAGAGCTTCGCCAGGACAAAATTGACGAAGCCCGCCACCCGGCACCCAGCGTTCAAAACGAACTTTCGCCGCGCCCGGTTCCTTTTTTAGGAAATGGAGGCACTCCGACCTCGAAGTCTGGAGTACAACACTCATTCTCGCAATCACTCTCTTCGGAATTATCCTCGGCCGGGGAGCAATCCACTTTGCGCGCATCCTCTGAAGACGGATCGAAGGCAATTTCATCCGCGCCCTCAACCCCGCAAGTGCTGTCGGCCCGTCAGGTGGACTCTGAAGAATCTGAGAACATGCGCAAGATGCTCGCCGAGCATCAGGAGAGCGCTGAACTCATGACCCAGAAATATACGGAGTTGCAAACCGAGCATGAGCAGATTCTTGTACTGGTCGAAAAGCTGAAAGCCGAGGCCCAACGCGCCAAGTCGAGCTCACCCCCTGCAACTCCCGGTTTCAAAATGATCCGCCGCATGACTAGCCAGAACCTTCTGTCAGGAGTTGACCGTGCGACCCGAGCCCTTACTGGTCTCCGCCTCCTTGCGTCCGAGGAGTTTGCTGAGAAGCCGGACGCTATGCACAACTTCGACTACCACCTGGATCAAATCATGCATGAGTTGCAAAGCCGTATGGAGCGCCTCCAATCCCTTGAAGCCGAGAACCAGGGTGTTAAGAAGGAAATGGAAATGAAATCTACTATTATTTCTGGCCTGACCAGAGAACGGTCGAGCTTGCAAGGTGCCTCGCCTGTGGACATGGCTCTAGTGTCGCAACTGCGCGATCAAGTCGTCTCCCAAGAAAGGCAGATCAACCACCTTCGAGACGCTCATGAATCCCGCCAAAATGAACTTTTGGCCGAGATTGATAATTTGAAGGGTCTTCTGAAGTCTCAAGAAAGCGCCACCCGCGCAATGGACGCCGGTGCCGAGGAGCAGGAGCAGAAGATCGGTGCTCTGCAGGGAGAGCTCACGGAATGGCAAAGCAAGCACAAGAGTGCTTTGGAATCCCTGCAGTCCTCGGAGTCGCAACTCACTAGTACTCTTGCCGAGCTGGAAGGTGCTTTGGCTTCGGTTGCTGCTATGCGCTCTGAGCGTGCTGTCGCCGATACCGACTCTACTGAGAAAGAAGCTGCTGCTCAAGAACTCGAGGGTGGCCGCGTCGAACAGCAGGACCTTGTGGATAGCCTGATGAAGGATATCGAGCATCACAAGGCTACTATTGCTACTCAGCTTGCGACAATTGCTAGTCTGGAAAATTCTCACGCCGATGTCCGGGATCAACTGGCTTCACAGACCACTCGCGAGGAAGGAGCCAATGCCGGCGCTGTTGACTTGGGTCTTTCTTCTCGGATGGTCGAACTTGAGCAGCAAATTTCTACCCACAAGTCGGTTGTCGATTCTCACAATACTAAGCTGGATGATCTCCAGGAATCTCACAAGCGTGAACTGGCCGAGTTGGAGGAGCGGACCAAGGCTGCCGTCCAGGCCGAGTACGATGCTCGTCTCGTCCAGAAGGATGCTGAGCATGAGCAATCCGTGGCGACTTTGCAGAAAGATATTGCTGAGTCGCGTGATGAGTTGGTAAAGCTGCTCAAGGCTGTGTCGACTCTCCTCAACTCCGAGGTCTCAGCCGAGAACTTGACGGATCAGATCCAAGATGTTTTGGCCCAGAAGCAGCACTTCTCAGATAAGTATGCTGAACTTATGGGCACCAATGAAGACCTGCGCAAGCAGCTGAAGGCCAACGCGGACGCTGAGAGCCGTCTGAATGAAATAACCGACAAGCACAACGCCCAGGACGCCAAGGTTAATGAGCTGGCTCTCTTGGTGGCTACGTTGGAGGATACTCTTCGCCAGAAGGACGAACAGGTCAAGAAGAAGGAAGCCCTGGTTGAGGAGATCACGATGGAGAAGCAGAAGAGCGTGCGTCTCGTGGAGGAGCTGGAAGAGCAAATTACGAACAGCTTCGATCAGCACCACAACCGCCTGTCCGTCATTCAGCAGGAGCGTGATCAGGCCCTGGAAGACGCCAAGGCCAAGATTGTTATCTACGAAGGTGACATCGAGACTTACCAAGTGCGTATCGAACAGCTTGAGCTTCAAATCAAGAACTCTGGAACCGCCGACGCCTCCCACGACCGCAGCAGCTCTCTCACATCCAACCTCCGCAAGAGCTCCTCCGCTGCCTCTCTTCCCTCGCCTCCACCGGCGATCCCTCTCCCTCCTCTCCCCACCATCGCCTCTCACTCCAACGGCGCCTCGAGCGTGTCACCGCCCAGCTCTCGACACGCCAGCAAAGAGCTGGTCAACATCCAGATGGTCGAGGATCAGGAAGCCCGAATCCGAACAATCGAGAAGCACCTGTACGCCGAGAAGCAGCTGACCGCCACATTGGAAGAGGCCCTCGGCGACCTTGAAACCCAGAGCACCAAGGTTAAGGCTGACTGCGAGGCCTGGAAGAAGAAGGCCTGGGAAGTCGAGGATGAACTATCCTCCCTCCGCAAGGAACGCAACTCTGCCCGTCTGTCCCTCCAGGCCGTCGAAGAGGAGCGGAGTGCCCGCCGTGAAGCCGAGGCTGCGCGCGCTCAACTGGAAGAGCGCATGGTCGCCCTCAACAAGAAAAAGAAGAAGAGCACCCTCAACTGCTTCTAGGCATTTTTGACTCTGACATTGCTCGAGCGCTTGAGCTTTCCCAGCATCAAAAGCAATCGCATTATCACCTGTCTTTATTGTTTTCCTCTGGTTGTACACTTTTACCTTCTCTGTTACTCTTCTCTTCCTTTTTCTTCTGTTTTTCTTCGCCCTTTGTTCCATACCCCCTTATTTTATTCGATTCCAATGAGTTACTCACCCAATTTCCCTGTATCATGAGCTTTCACGTTTTTTGTCACTTTCCCCCGTCGATTCCGTCAATACCTTGTCCAATAGCCCTAACACACCCCTTTTCCACTTCGTTCTTCACATATTTCCATGTATGTATTCTAGGTATGTGTATTCAAGCTTAGTTCAAGCTTAGTCTCGACCCATTCAAGCTTAATATAATACATATGTATTCTTAAAGTAGAAGGTATCTATGGATAAGGGTGGTTTCCTATTAAGGAAGGCACCCGTGGACGTGATGCTATAAAAGCGCTTCTCCCCCTCCTCTCGAACTTCCCTTTTTATTTTCTCTCCAAGTACCACGAATTTCTTTTAAACCTCTTTTTTCCTTTGACCACCCCCGCCTCAGAACTAAAAAGAAAAATGCCCCGGCCGGCCGATGGGCGAGCGTGACCTCCTGGTTCCGGTAATTGTAAGTTTCCTCACGTCCATTATCTATCTCACCGACGCTGGTCGACGTCGACATAGCTTACTAACTTCTGTTTTGCTAGTCTTTTTTAAAAAGTCATCACATTTTGAAGACCGAGCTGCCCACGAGCGAGTTGCGTCGTATGTACCAAATTCCTTTTTTCCTACTTGCACTCATGAATCCCTCATGACTGGTAGATCTTTCTATCGACCTTTATCGTCCCCACGCTGAATAACCTCGATATTTGTGCATTCCGTCGGCTGTTTCCAGATTCATTCGCGTTGAATTATCGCAATCAAGGGGAACCTTGTCAGCTCTCAGTCGCTTTTCTCTCTGCTTGAATCTCATATGGATGTTCCCTCGTTCATATTGAGTTGCTTGTTTCGTGCATTCTATCAATGAAGTTTCCAACGTCGGACTATTTTCTATCTCGCTCAGACTGTAGAGTACAAATTTGATAGATTAACTCTTGAGGATCGACGGATGCAACTTGCGTAGGCTGTGCGGAGATTTAGAGACCGACATTCTAAGCCATTCAGGAAAACAACCTTGAAAAACAAATCATAGCCTCAATTTGCGCATTTCAAGTCTCTCGCTTTTGGCTCGAGTCATGCCCTCTCTATACAACTCCAGGGTGGGCTGGCAAGACGGCTATTGGCGGTTTCTGTCGCGTTTCCACTTGTGATCGATATATCTTGTTTGAAACTTCCCAATGGAATTCAGCCCATTGATGGCAGGAGTGATACTCAACTTCATCCATTCACTTTCGTTTCATTTCCAAGTGTGATTGGCATGAAGCTTTCGCCCGAGGACAAAGGGCCACACCACCCATAATTATCGCATCGACATTGCTCATAGACAGGACAGCTAGGGATTTGTTAGTACACTGTCTGATCAAAGAGTCTCTAAAGACCTACTAGACGTCTTCCATGCTAAAGACCACATGCCACACTACCTCAAAGACCCACCCAACACCATAACTATCCACCATCTGCTTGCTTTTCTTATCCACCCAGTTCATCATCCGTATATAATCGCTCTTTGGTCGTCGCCGTATTTGATCCCGGCTCACTGCAAATTGCGCGCAGCAGATGCCTCCAATGACATCTGGAACGGGCGTATCCGCCCCAAAGAGCTCCGTATATATCTGTGCGAAAAAGGCACGCGTATCATGATTTTTGATATCGATTTCGGTGGGGCTGTTAGGGTGAACGTGGCTTGGACATCCCGGAGAATGTAGGCATCGCAGGTTAACATAGCCTTTTGCATCCACAGCTTCAAGGCGTAAGTTTTCTAGCACGATCTTGGTTTTTGGTCCAAACAAATCGTTATGGCGTTGCGTTTCACCAGCGTGGATGAAAATCGAAAACGGCGGCAACTTGTCATAGTAGTCGATAATGTAGGAAAGATATGCGGAAACTTCGCGGCCACGAGATGAATGGGGAACGAGTAAATCTGGTTCACGTTTCCGACTCATAGAGTAAATAAAAGGTGTAGTATTAGGTCTAGAGACAATAATGTTAGTATAGAATGTTGGTCCGGAGCTGTTTGCGTACTGGGTCTGGAGGTGTTCTTGAAGCCATCGCACGTCGTCCGACCGTGTCTTCGGTATCACTAAAGCCACATCCGTCGACTTCGAGTAGTTCCTCATCCTTTGAACGAGCTCTGCTTGTGCTTTATTTCTTTCAATCCGTTCACCTAATCCATCAAGATTAGCAGTTATCGCTGTCATATTAAGTGTGGACCCCTAGGTGCGGGGATCGTCAAGATCGACAATTTGGATAAACAAACTATTAAAGAGGTTGTGGGCGCCTAGCATCACGAGCAGTGTGCAGAAGAAGAGTATACATCCCGATATGAACATTCGCTGCCTAATACATGAGCTTATCAATCTTCGGAGTCGTCTAGAATGACCATAGCTTTGCTCGAGGAGTCGATTCATTTTCTGTGAGAGATAGATGTTCTACCAATAAAGAATGAGCTAAAGGAAGAGGAAAGAAATTTCGCATACTAGGCGCAAATTAACAGTCACATGATGCTGTCTTAAAGTCCTTCCCTGGAGGACACGACTATGAATGTCTCAGGGTTCCCGATCACTAGTCTAGTGGTGGTTAAATGGATGGGGTGCTGTGGGCCGAAATGAGCGAGGTCACATTGGGAACAAACGCCGATTACATACAATATTATTGCCTTTCTACCTATCAGCAGCTGGAATCACCCTTATAAACTAGCGCGCACACTGAACTCCTAGGCGAGGTAGTCGTTCGAAAAGAGAACTACAACAAACGCCGAAGGATTCCCTAGAAGGATCACCTTACCTTACATACAATACTGTCAGGTCCGTCAATTGCAAGATAGATCCAGAGATCCCTAGCGTTACTGTACTAGTCTGCTGGAGTGAACCATACCCTTTCTCATGCCAGAGATGGTCCTGCAGCTCCCGAACCTTTAGATGATCTCCTACTCCGTATAGGGCTATTCTAAATTTGAGTTTCGGGAATACGGAATGTGGAACTCTACCGTGAATCTACTCAATACGTGGTGCATTCTCCTCTCTCTCTCTTTTTAATTCTTCTGCCTCTTGTTTGCACTTATCGCTGCGCCCTTGCAATTTCGCCCAATCGGACTCGCCGCCCCATTCGCCCCCACTGAGCACCATTTAAAGGCCCCGTGCACGAGGGCCAGGAGGTGTCGGGATTTACAATGCTGATACAGGAGAGATTTGCGCCTGAGTGCGATCTAACCTATGCTGCTCAGCTGCGTCGACAATGGAGATATCTGCATAGAGGACTAGATAAGAACACCGACATCGACAAATGGTTGTTGAATTGGGAGACGCTCCAACAAGATGCACAAAAGCAGGCATTGCGGAAGCAACAGATGCTAGTAATAAGTTCCTGGATGCGATTTCAGTTATGTCTCCTGAATTCCATGAAATATCCATGTTGAGACTGGAAGATAGAAAAGGCTGAAAAGAAGCCGATTGAATTCTCCAAGCTTATTTACCCGGTATAAAGCTCACTGGTCGATCAGTCATGGAAGAGCAGGTGCTGCTTCACAAAAGGGCGTTTCGAGAGCCGCCTTCAATACCTGGCAAGGTCATGGAGAAACAACACCAGCTGGAGAGCCAACGCCAGCTACCGAAGACGTAAAGGCGGCAAATGAGAAGCTGCCAACTAAACAAAGGGAGTGTCCATGCAGACCTAACTCAAAGCATAAGCCTTGGAAATGTTGGACTGGATATGAGGAAGACAGGCCTGATGGGAGAAAGCATTGAAAGCGGACCCTGCTTGGAAAGCTCTCATCAAAAAGAAGAGAGCAGAGATAAAGCAAGGGAACGAGTCACCGGCACAGCAAAAGCAAGCGAATGCAACCTTTGAAAAGGAAGCATTTGGTCTGTTCTCAATAGACACCCAGTATATCGATCCAAAACCGGTCGAGAAACGACAGGTCATCGGTACCCGGTTCGCAAATCCATATTTGCAACGATCGGAGCTTGTTTACCACCTTAAAAAACACACAGAGTAGTGTAAAGGTCAGAGATACGGAGACATTCATCAAGGGGATCGGCACTGTAGTCATCTATGGTGTCAGCCCTGAGGATGGAATCCCAAGAAGGATGGATCTTTATGAAACCAGATACTCTCCCAATTTCCACACTAATCTGATATCCCATGGATTGATGATAAAGAAGGGAGCATTCGTGAATTTCCGCAAGAATTGGATTGAGACCAACGATGGTGATCCAATTTATAAGACCTGTCAAGACCTGAACCTATCCTGGCTTACCCAGTCGAGGATACAGGACCAGGATGGATTAGTCTTGGTACTAAGAATCAGAGTAAGAGCCGGCTTCAAAAGCACCAATTGAAACCTGGCATTGGCACCTTGGCCACGTCGGTGAAGAGCGCATTGTAAATTAGCAGAGTTGACTGAGGGCATTACTCTTACTGAAAGCAACCCTGGTTTTCGACATCACGTCCAGACCCTCGGCGCAGCAATACTTTATTTCATGCTCGTCATTTCGCTCCTCGTCTGCATCTCTACAAGCACAGCCAACCTTCTAGGCTACTTGAAAATATTATATTTACCTGCCGTCATCGTATTCATTGGTCTTTGAAGGTTGTTCGTTTTTCATCGACGACTGAATTAGATCTGTCCGATATGTCTCTATGGTTTCAAAGGCTCCTGCATCTGGTCATCCTTCTGTTCTTTATGTTTAGTGCATTCTTCCCCTATCTACGAGCGATGGAGGATGTGCACCCTCGCTATTATTCGACACCTGGATTGGCACTTACACGGTCTTGATATCCGCGGCTGTGCTTTTATATCTTGTGTGCTGTCTTCTATCGGATTCCGGGGTCAACCTCTTGAGAGCAAGTATCTAATTTGAGCTTCATACTACTTTTGTTAGACTATTTGGGTGAAATATCACTCTAAATTCTCTTTAATTGCTTTGCACTGAAGGCCATGTCCTATAATCTTATTAATTAATATAAACACTCGGCACTTGACGTCTAGTCATGATAGATAGTCCGTTAACAGCGCTGAGCCCACCACGTAAGAACACCGCAATCAAAGGGCCTATATTCTGGGTATTGGCTGTTACAATGAGCCAAAGCATCATTGAGACAATATATTAGATAGATAGAATTAACTTTGTGAGAACACTGTGGCATAATCACATGACGCGTATACCCCACGTGTCTTTTAAGCTTGTCGCAACGGCAGCTCCAATCTCCAAGCTCTAAAAGCGACTCACCATGGGCCTCAAACGGTCCAATGTGGCAATAATCCACCCGGATCTGGGTATCGGAGGTGCCGAGCGGCTAATAATCGACGTCGCCCTAGCCCTTCAGAACCGAGGCCACCGCGTAACGATCTACACCTCCCACCGCGACAAGGCGCACTGCTTCGACGAGGCGCGCGATGGCACGCTGGACGTCCGCGTACGCGGAAACACCCTCTTCCCCGCCAATGTCTGCGGCCGACTCCACATCCTCATGGCTGCGTTGCGCCAGCTACATCTTACCGTGTCGCTACTGGGCGAGCTTGGGACAAGGGGGAGCCCGGGGACAACTACCACAACCACTGACGAGGAGGACCGCGACGATATTTTCATTGTGGACCAGTTGCCGGCTTGCGTGCCATTTTTGAAGTCGTTCGCTCGCCCGCGCCACTCCCGACGCCAGCGCATCTTGTTCTATTGTCACTTCCCGGATCAATTGCTCGCGCGCCGAGATGAGGGCGGCTCTCTTCTTCGCTTGGCGAAGGTGCTATACCGGTTTCCGTTTGATTGGTTTGAAGGCTGGGCGATGAGCGCGTCGGATCGGGTTGTTGCAAACTCTAGGTTCTCCCGCGGGGTCGTGCGTGACGTCTTTGGCTCGGACCGGTTGGGTGATGTGGAGGTGGTCTATCCGTGTGTCGATATGGACGCCGGGATATCAGTGCCTGAGAAAGCGGATGGAGGCCCCCTTTGGGGTGGGAAGAAGATCCTGCTTAGCATCAATCGCTTCGAGCGTAAGAAGGATATGGCGTTGGCGATTCGGGCTTATAATGGACTAGGAGCAGGGAAGAGGAAAGGGACGCGGCTGGTGATTGCTGGTAAGAATTTGTGCAGGGATTCGTGATTGCTATAAATTCTAACATGGTATTTTGCAGGCGGTTACGACAATCGTGTCCACGAGAATGTTCACTACCACCAAGAGCTGGATGAGCTCGCGACCAGTCTTGGGTTGAAGACTGCAACCTCCAAGACAGTCGTCTCTGCGCTTTTAATCCCAGACGAGATTGATGTCCTCTTCCTTCTTTCTGTTCCCACCGCATTCAAAGATACCCTTTTGGTGCAATCAAAGCTCCTTCTCTACACACCGATCAACGAACACTTTGGTATTGTACCTGTCGAAGCAATGCGCGTTGGCCTTCCAGTACTAGCATCGAATACTGGCGGTCCACTTGAGACAATTGTTGAGGGAGAAACGGGCTGGCTCCGGGACGCTCATGCAGATGAAGAGTGGACGGCTGTGATGGACAAGGTACTATACGGACTGAGTGGGGAGGATCTTCAACGCATGGCTCTTGCTGGCAAGAACAGGGCGCAGCAGGAATTCTCTCTCACTGCTATGGGTGATAGACTAGAAGAAGAGATCTCCGCCATGCTTAAAGCTGAAAGAAGGTCATTCAATGGGTGGCAGCAGGTCTTTGTCATTCTCACTCTGGTTGGAGCTGTTCTTGCAGTGATGGCCGCAGTTTTACTTCGAGCGCTATAATACATAGGCCATGCTTAAATCTGTACTTTACGTTAATTTACTCTTTCCAAGTTACACCAGTTCCCTCATCTCCTGCACTGAACATTGTTCACGCCAACTTCACCACACATACCAGTCACATGACCTCGTGTTTTGTTCGCGGTGACGTCGCGTCCCCCTCTATCAATTGATCATTGTCCTTAATCGCCGGCCCTAGGGCATTGGGATCTCTCAACATGCCCGAAGTAATAGACCTTCTATCCTCCGATCCTTCTACCCCAAAACAGGCCCAGGTGCCAATATTGCGACAGCCAGCCGAACTCCCGTCGCGACATCCATCCCACCGGCTCAATACAATTTCATCAGACCCGTTCGATACGTCCATTTTTGACTATGAAGACGTCTTCGACAAGCCCGCTAAGAAACGGCGGATGAGTGAGGAAGATACTTCCTCTCTGCGACAAAGCACCACGCCAAACGAACC